TTGCCTATCTTAACAAGCTTGCTTGACATGATTAGACACAGCTTGCGCAAGGCCTCCTGATCCCACACTCATCTGTCTCTCTACCTTCTGATCTCCTGGTCCTCTCCCTTGGAACCTGCCAATGAAGAATGATCTGCTGGCCCAGGTCACCCACCTTTCCTCGAGGAGATGGTTAAGTTATAACAGTTGCCAGAGGAGGGGGAGTGTATTCCTCAGTGTAGCCACTTGTAAGTTGCTCTTGCTCAAGTAGATAATACACATATTCACACACATACATTCACACACACACACACATGCACCAACACAAAAACACACATTCACACACATACCTGCGTGCACACATACTCACATAAACACACACATTCTCTCACACAGACACATATACATGCTCATTCACATGCATACACACACACACACACACACACACACACACACACACACACACACACACACACACCAAAGAATGAATAAAGGAATCAGCTAAGGTCCAAGAGAGAAAGAAAAGGATCCAGACACATCTACAGTTCCTCCAGCCCTTCCAAATACCCACCCTCCTCTCTTCCACCTCTCTCAGGGAAGTCCCAAATGGTAGGCCACAGTGAGTCTGCTTCCAACTCTGTCACTGACCTCCCTGGCATCTGTTTAAACACAATGCTGTCACTGAGACCAGGCAGCAGCCACTCCTATGCCCAGTGGTACACTGAAGTTAGCCCTGGAAATCCCTCAGCCTCACCCTCAGCCTTCAGGAGTAAGACACAGTCCAGAGACTAAGGCAGTCCTTCTGCTGAGTGAAGTGTCACAGGCAGAGCATGCTACACAGGTGGGCCTGAGAAGCCGGGGAGGGACTGTCCCCCAAAAGTAGAGGATGCTGTACTGGCCTTAGAATCATCCCATTAAAAAAAAGAATCCAGGGGAATTACTATTAAGTCCCAGGGAAGCTTAGGCCAGAAGTATAAACTTTGGAATGACCCGAAGAAGCACACTGTTCATTTGAGAAAAAGCTTGGAAGACCTGAGGCAGAGCTCAGGAAGCCACAGCTGACAGAGGAGACTTCTGGCCATGGACCAGCAGGGCCGTGAAGGTGTGGTGGTATGCACCTGTGACCCCAACACTCGGCAGGCTGAAGCAAGAGATTCATGAGTTCAAGGCCAGTCTGCACTCCATGGTGAGCGTTTGTCTCTGCTCTGAGTTCAAGTGTGTGTTAGTGAGTTTCACGACCCCACAGAAGAGCCTTCATAGAGGAAAGGTGTATTTTGTCTCTCGATTTCAGGAGATTTTAGTCCTTTATGGTGGAGAAAGGATGTTTGGTGATGGCCCATGTCATGGAGAGCATGTAGAAGCTCCCAGCAGCAAACAGAAGTACCTGGTTACAGCCCTCAAATCTCTTTGATACAGTCCTGCATCCACCACCTAAGCCTACATCCCAAGGTTACACAATCTCTTAAAAGAGTATGGTGAGCTGGGACAAGTATTCAGATGGGGACCCTGGGGTCAATATGAGCTTGGCATTGAGATGGTTGTGGTGGTGGTGGTGGTGGTGGTGGTGGTGACAGAGTCCCACTGTGTAGCTCTGGCTGGCCTGGATCTCACTTTGCAGACTAGTTGGCCATGAACTCACAGAGATCCACCTGCCTCTGCCTCACGAGGGCTGTAATTAAAGGTGTGCACCACACCAGGGCTGGCCCATGTTTAGATGTTTTAAAGACAAAAGTCACATGACTTAAGCTCCAGCAGAACAAAGACCAGAGCCAGAATATGAAGTCTCCCTCAGCACCTCCCAGCTGGGCCCTGGGACTATGTGCTGATAATAGTACCAAGAGCCATCTCCCTATTTGCCCCTATCAAGGGTCTGGAGACCCAACTTTATCCCTTCTCCCACCTCATTCCCTTGGCAATGCCAACATTAGACATAACAAAATATTCAACATGACAAACAACTCTCCAATCTCACCCAAGAGTCCAGATCCCAGTGTTCAGGATTGGATTTCACGCTCCCCACAATCCAGTGCCGCGAACTGCTAACACCAGCAACAAAAGAATTCACAGAGGCCAGAGAGAACCTTCCAGAAGGCGATCCTGTGTGATGTCACAAGGGCTATGGGAAACAGAGCTGAGAGAGCAGCCTGTCCCTGGTGAAACCAAGGGATGATGGCTGGATCAGGCCTGTTCGCTTCTGCATGTGTAATCCTACCCCACTCAAACCCTGACGTCTGAAATCCTCACCTTCTCACCCAGCTGCAGCCTTGAATTTACATTGTAATTTTTCAAGGCATTTGTTTGTTTATTTGGCAAATATGAGTACACCCTGCAATGGCCCTTGACATGCCAGAAAAGACGGGCTGTAGAGGGAATTTGTTATAAACCAATGACCCATTGCTCAAGAAAATGTGCATGTACACAAAATTTTACTGTGACGTGAAGAACTGCATGGACCTTTGAGAAGAACATCCACATGGTGGTCTGTCTTGCCTCATGCAGCCTGGCTCAGTGTGTCCTTCCTAGAGCCCACTATCCAGAGAGGATTCATTGATAGAGGAAGGTACCTGGATGGCTGCTCAGTCTCCCCCAAACCCCTGCAGGCTAAAAACTGTGAGAGAGGAACAAGAACCTCTGAAGATTCAGGAACCAGCTATATCCCAGAATATTCCATCCCATAAGCCCTCCTTCCCTTCCTTGACTTCCTTTTCAGGGACCAATCTGCCCTTCCCCACACCTACACCCAATCTGCATCAGTTGGAGTTCTCTAGAGGAACAGAACCAATGGGATGAATATATATTAAAAGGGGACTTATTAGATTGGCTTACATGATACGGTCTGGGTAGTCCAATAATGGCTGTCTCACACCAGAGAGGCAGTTGCTCAGTCCATGAGGCTGGGTGACTCAGCAGTCCCTCTCTGGCACTGAAGGCCTGGAGGGTTCATGGAGAGTTGGAAGCCTGAAGAAGCTGATTCAACTATCCGTGACAGCAGCAGCAGCAGCAAAAGGCAGATGAATTTGCCAACAGGAATGAAGGCTGAGCCAGCAAAAGAGCTAAGCTTCATTTCTTCACATCCTTACCTGGGCTGCTATCAGCAGGTGCTGCCCACACTTAGAGTGAGTAGGCTTTCTCAGAACAACTAAGGCAATCAAGACAATCCCCCCCAGAGACATGCTCAGGGGACATCCTGTTGTAAACATTCCTTCAGTGAAACCAGCTCCCTGGGTGATTGTAGACTGTCAAGTTGACAAAATAAACCATCACAATTACTTTGAAGATACAAAAACACGTGAAAGTGTCCGGGCCAGTGTCTTTGCAGGAATCTGCCCACACTCTGCTCCTCCTATGGCCTTCAGGTTCCTCGGGCTGCTGTCTCCCTTTGCAGGTGGAATTCATGGAAGCTTCAGCGTTTATGCTACAGACTGTATTTTAATAAATTATCTAATATGACATCATTCTCCAGGTACCTGTTATCTAGTCAGCTTAAAATCACTGCGACCAAAAACTGGATTGGACAACCAGAATAAAAGTATTTACATTGGGACTGGAGAGATGGCTCAGAGGTTAAGAGCACTAACTGCTCTTCCAGAGGTCCTGAGTTCAATTCCCAGCAACCACATGGTGGCTCACAACCATCTATAATGAGATCTGGTGCCCTCTTCTGGTGTGCAGGCTTACATGCAGGCAGAATACTATACATAATAAATAAATAAATCTATAAAAAAAAAAAAAAAAAAAAAAAGTATTTACATTGAGTCAGAACTTCAGAAGTGTTAGTCCATCATGGGGGAAGGCATGGCAAAGCAGGACAGAGAGAGTATGCCCGTAGTCATGGGCCTTTTCCTTTTCCCCTTTCATTCCATGTAGGCCCTCATCTTATTAGATGGTGTCTTCCACACTCAGAGTGGGTCTCCTCCTTAGTCAACTCTCCCTGGAAATGCTTTCACAGACGTACTCGTGATGTACTTTTCTCTGTCGATATTGACCATCACATGTAGTTAGCAGCTGAAGTGTCTTTCACTCAAAGCCTCAAATACATCTCTGAACTGCATAATACATAGAACAGCAAGACCCATTTTTATCCTTTGGTTTCACCAAGCCTGAGCCCCTGGCATGCAGAATATCATGAAGAATGCTCAGAGCTAGAGAAGGCCACCAGAGCTCTATAATGCACACCAGAGCTGAATCCTACAGTCAAATGTGCATTCAAATGATGGCTTCCTGTACAATAAGCTCCAAGGCAGCACAGATGCTGGCTGGAGACCACACTTTGGAATAGGTTCTAGAGCTACTCAATGGGGGTAGCCACTGGGCACTTAAAATTGAATAGCTATCTAAAATTAAATATAGTTCAATTAAAGTTAAAGGGAATTAATTCAAGTCCTGTCTCTGGAGCTGAGCTTCATGTTAGCGGCCACATGTAGCCAATGGTCATGTCTCCACCCTCTTCCATCTGTAGGGAGTAAATAAGAAAAAAAGCAGGTGGAGTGATGATCCCAGAGGACTGGCCCCAGGCAAGCAGGCTATTCCTGGAGCCCCATAAGACACTCACACTCTGATACAAGGATTTCTGGAGCCAGACTAGAGAGGTCACGGAACAGTCATAGTGTCCCCTCTATGGTCTCCCACTTTCCAGGTGGCAAAGGTTCAGCTGCCTGCATGGGGGGAGCAGGGGACCTTGGGCAGGCTCCTCCCAATAGCCGCACAGCACTGGCTGGAGGATGCAACCCTCTCACAGGGTGGGTCACATGCTGGCCAAGGTCTACTCTTCAAATTAACAACCTGTCACCTGCCCCTCTATGGAGGCACCAGCTGACAGTCCTCTTCTAGCAGACTGCAGACTTCACTGCCCTAGAGTGAGCATGGGGTCAGTGCTCAGGTGATATCCACCACTATCCTTCTGGGGCCAGCTGTGAGAGGCTAGTGATTTCCTGGATCCTGTTCCTGTGGCTAAGCAATTCTAGGAACCACCCCTTCCTCTGACTGTCTTAGAAGTCTTCCATTCTGCACGTGTTACTCACCCACATCCAGCACGACTGGGATGCAAAGCCAAGGTAAGCAACCAGACCCCAAGAGGGCCCAGTGCTGTGTGACTCTTCCTGCATGCTTTCCCAAGACCCCTTGTCTCCAGAGCACAGATGCATGCAGGCTGTCACTTTTTGGGATTTGTGCAATGCACAACCTGTGTAGACATCAAACGTGGCCCTGACCTCAGGTACCCAGACAGACAGATTTGCCTGCAGGCTCTGTATGGAAAGGAAGTGATGTACAGGCACATCAGTCAGCCAGCTTCCATGGCAACAGCCTCAGCAGCCTGGCAATAGCATCCACAGCCACAGTCTCAGAGGGCGCCTTTGCAATGTGATTCACGGGCTTTGCTCCCTTCACAACTGGAACTTGTTCCTGTGACTTCCCAACAATTTCTGTGTAAATTTTCCAAACTGATTTTTCTACTTAACAGCTTAAGAAGCTCCAGCTTTTGATTAGGTCTGTTGAAAGTGAGTTGGGTTGAGCCTGATGACCTGTTCTGTAGTTAGTTGTTTGTGTTTGTGTTTTCAACTTGATCCAAGCTAGAGTTAGCTGAGATCTCAACTGAGGGACTGCCTCCATCAGGTTGGCCTGTAGGCAAGTCTGTGGGGGGCATTTTCTTGATTCCTGATTGATGTGGAAGGGGCCAGCCCACTGTGAAAGTGGTGCCACCCCTGAGCAACGTGGTCATGGTTTGTGTCAGAAAGCAAGCAGAGCAAGGCTATGGGGAGCAAGCCAGAAAGCAGCACCTCTCCGTGGCCTCTGCTTCAGTTCCTGCCTCCAGGTTCTGTAAACGGAGGGCTTTTTTTCTGATTCACCTGGTACCCGTAGCCATTTCCAAATAATCACTCCAAGGCTTAATATTAATTATATAATGTTTGGCCGATGGCTCAGGCTTTTTACCGGCTAGCTCTTACATTTAAATTAACCCATTTTCTATTAATCTATGTATTGTCATGTGGCCATGGTACTGCTGGTCTGCTGGCATGTTGCTCCTTCAGTGACTGGCTGGCATCTGCCCTAACTCTGCCCTTCTTCATCTCCAGTTTGATTGTCCCACCTAACCTTATTCTGCCTGGTTATTGGCCAAAACAGCTTTATTTATCAACCATGAGAGCGACACATATTCACAGTGTGCGGAAAGACCATCCCACAGCACAGTTCCTGCTTGAGCCCTGACTTGCCCTCATGATGGACTGTGGCATGTAAACCAAATAAACCCTTTCTTCTCAAGTTGGCTTTGGTCATGGGCGTTAACCACAGTTACAGAGAAGCAAACTAAAACAGTAACGCAACCCAGCTTCCTCCCGCCTGCGGGAACACAGTGGAGGGGATTGCTGGCAGGCTTCTCAGACAACAGCCATAAGTCACTGTGTGACTTGTAGGCAGAGAGGAGAGTGATGGTCCAAGCCTGGAGAGGCTAGAACAGCCAGGTGAATGGCTGACCCATGAACATGACTGATAGAGCTGAGCCTGTCAGAGCAGAAATACCCCTGCATCCATCTCTCCCAGGATTTCAGCCCCCGGGGGGGGGGGGGGGGGTTCACTGTTACTTCAAGGTGCAGACCCCCTTGAGGGGTGGGGGAAACACAGGGGAGTATGGCTGGAGCGGCTTTCTGAAGAAGGGCACCATGGCCTTGGTCTCCCATCCTGAGCTGGAGTTCTCCTCCCCCACCGCCCTGACATCCTTTGTTCTGCCTCTCTCTCCCCTCTGTCTTCTTACTGATTCGCCCTCGCCCCCTATCATTCTCCCACTCTCTTACACACATGGAGAGAGAGAGAGTGAGAAAGAGAGAGAGAGAGAGAGAGAGAGAGAGAGAGAGAGAGAGACGAGAGAGAGAGAGAGAGAGAGAGAGAGGAGAGAGACGAGAGAGGAGAGAGAGAGAGAGAGAGAGAAGAGAGAGAGATCCGAGAATTCCTTGCAGGTGCGGGGAGCACTCCCCCAGCAAAACCTCACTGGCTGCCTCGATCTTCCCCACTGGGGTGGCAGTGTGGGCACCGTGGGATTGGCACCCCTGACCCACGGCCCCCAGGCTGTCTCTCCGCTCATCCATCTCAGCCTGTGCTCCGCAGAGGGCTCTAAAGAGGACACCCACGCCAGCTTTTTCGGTCACGCCCTCACTGCGGCACCTAATGAATCTCAGCTCTCGCCCTGAGCCGCCCACAGCCCTGCTGTGCAGCCCAGCCCCGCCCCCCGGCCACCCCGGGTCTGAACCGAGGTTCCCCTCCTGAGCCTCAGGAAGGGAATTCAGGACAGAGGTCTGGCTCTGTGCCAGTGTTTGTACCCGATCTGATTTGCTTCAGAACAGTCATCGTCATGGAAATGTCCGTAACCAGGTGCAAATAATGGCTAGATATGCCATCGCCCATGTTTTATATTAACACAGATTTGCCTAAATGAAGCTTAACAGAAGAAACCACAAGGCGCCTGGCGCTTCTAACGTCCCATGGGGTGTGGGAGGCAGTGTGCAGAACAGAGCTCTGGTCCACCCTCCGTTCCAAACCCTGATGGAACACATCCTAGACCAGTGATTCTCAACCTTCCTAATGCTGCGACCCTTTAATACAGTCCCCTTATGTTGTGCTGACCCCCAACCATAAATTTATTTCGTTACTACTTCATACCTGTAATTTTTGCTACTGTTATGAATCGTCATGTAAATATCTGATATACAAGGATATCTGATATGTGACGCCATGGGGGTCGCAACCCACAGGTTGAGAACTGCTATTCTAGACGATGCTGAGTACCCCATGGCTGGGGCAAGACTGTACTAGGTTATCAAAAACCACTGCCTCTCAGTGGGTGCTCCACATGTCCTTGGTGGTAAGTACTCAGTACTTAGTCGTGTCAGGTACTCCACCCGCACTGTCCTATGGAGTCCTCATCAAGCCCTTGAATGAGGAATCCTAGGCCTAAGGAGTTTAGGTGACTCAAGTCCCCGCCGTGTGTAAGAGCTCATCTCAGCTTGGGATGTGTCTGGGCCAGCTGCTGTGAGCACACAGATGCTTGTGCAAGTTCACGACTGGAGGACAGGGGGGCCATTGCTGGAGAGGGGAAGGGGTGGAGGGAAGAGAGGGGCAGCATAGATCCCCACGGTGTGGGGATGAGAAGGACTCTCCAGGCAGCCCACGGGGCACTGAGAACTAGGCTAGGCAGACTTCCCTGGTGACTCTCCGCCCACTTCTTTGGGCAACATTCTTTCTCTCTCTGAAGGACCCCCCAGGCTCCACCCTCACCTCCAGGATAGGTGGACAAGAGAGATACTTCATGGGCAGGCAGAGGCTACTGAAGAGCAGGGAGATGCCAGCATGGCTCACATGTCTGATGCAGGACACCCTCCTTTGTGCAAGAGTGTAGGTGACCCTAAAACAGCCCTACAGGAAGATGTGCACCCAGCATGGATGATGGAGCCCTCTTCTCCTAGTCCTTTCCCAGCCCACATAATCTAGCTCCTCCCTGAGACCCCAAGACCACCTGTAGTTAGAACAGAATTGCTACAACCGGACAGACACGGTGGCTGGATGCTCAGGCCAATGACTCTCCACACCCCCTCTTGCTATGAGGGCATGTCAACCGTCGACCAGCCCAGCTGGAGTTGTGCTTTTGCAATCAGACACTAGCTTTATGAAGATGTAGTTTTGTTCTGCTCAGAGGACAGCGCTGTGCAACATCGTGGTGCCTGAATAAGCTTCCAAGGAAGTTTCAAAAAACTTACGTCAAGAACTGTGAGAGTCTGAAGCATCCCCTTCCAAAACCACCATGTCAGCTACCCAGGTTCATGGATGCTGATGGGAGCCACAAGACTCCTGGAGACAAGGAGTTCATTGTTCACAGGAACATCATCCCTACAGGGGACATGTGACACATTATCCCAGCAGATAACACACAGGAGGCTTGACTCGAGGGACCTGGATCCACTGGAACAAGAAACACCTACCCTTGCCTCCCAAGACAGACACCTCCTTTGAGACACTGTACAGTGGGAACACCTGTTCACCAGCCCCCCAGCATCCCACCCACCATCTTTCTTCTGAGGCTGAATCCAGGGTAGGATACCTGGGGAGACACCAATTTCATCTTCCAGATTAGCTCACTATGCAAACAGCCTTCATGGAGCAGTCTAAAGCTGGGGGTAAAGACTGTGTAAGGCTCTGGGGTGTGGTTTCATGGAGCTCCCCCCCCCCATGAACCTACACACATCAGTGAAAGAAAAATTATCCACAGCCTAAGGCAGTCAGGACCTTCCTAGAAAGACACACAGGAATACCAAGCGGCCCAGGGTGCTGTCACCATACCTCATTCTTTTCCTGGTCCCAAGTGGGGTTGCATGTGATGATGTATTTTATTTGGGAAGTAAAGAGTTAATTCCTTTTTACCAAAGATTCTGACATACAGAAAGGGGAAAGTGAAGGTTGTTACTGCAAGCTCCCCTGAGCTCCAGTCCCTAGTGTTCTGTGTGTAGGCTGGAGCTAGTGATAGCCCTAAAAAGGAGAACACAGCCAACACTGAGGACTGTGGACCCAAGGCCAGGTTAGGAAGGATGTGGCTTTGGTCTCTGGGGCTCCCTCAGGCCTCTCCCCAACTTCTCTGATGAAGCTACTGCCGCATTTGATCTGTACCTTAGAGGGACCTTCCATTAGCAAGAACTGTGGTGACGTCTGCACCCCGCCAGGCAGTGAGAAACCAAGGCTCTGCATTCCATATGGCCTCAGAGGCGTGGAACCATGGCGAGTAACCAGGTTCTCACTGGGACGGACTTGTTGAGCCTGGCATGAATCCCTCTGGCCTTCAGACCCCTCATGCTAATAAATACTCTAGGTCACTAACTATATTTCAGGGTGATTTGCTTAACCCACAGCAATAGATAACACAGCTACTGAACAAACTAGAACAGAGAGCACCACGCATCCCACAGCAAAATTCTGAGGATTTATTTGTGTTCCTGGAGTATGGGTTTGAAGCAGAGCAGCAGGTGTTCCTACGTGGATAATAGTGAAAGGCACCTATGTGTTAGAGTAACTTATAGAAACACTGGTCACCACCGAATGGTGCTTCTTGTGTAGTTTAAAAGGTGGGTGGCAACTCCTGCCCCCACGGCCACTGCCGCCACATTCACAGCGCTTTGTGGCTGGACCAAGACCAGAGCTTCACTGCATCCTTCTGAGTGGTGACTCCATAATGAGTGTCTTGGCCAGGCAAGGGTGGTAAAACTTGGCCTATTCGGAACAGCACTGGGAAACAAGGGGTTCCCCCTCCTGCGGTTCAAACAGCCCTTCTGTCAACAAGGCTCAGAACCAACCTCCTTACGGAAAGGAACTGGGCAGACATGGTAACTGATGGCCAGGGGGTAGCTTGTGGCCACTGGCGTCTGGAAGGCTGAGTGTCTATAAAAGATGGGGTTCGGGGGGCTGTCTCCCCTGAGCTGCGGCCTGCCAACACTCACAAGTTTTCCTTGTCAAACTCGCACATGAAGTACATGGTGATGTGGCAGGCCACATCGTTCCAGCCCCCTGAGGCCACCATCTCTACACAGTCCTCCTCATCATAGGCATTGTTGGGTTCTCCGCTACGCCACTTGTTGAAAGTCTGCATGGGGGAGCGGTCTGAGTACACGAAGGTGCCCTCTCTCTCCAGGTCATTGATGCCTATGAAGACACGGGCCAGGCCGGCCTGTGCCAGGTACGAAGCCATCAGGCCATTGGCTGCCTCGTCCTTGGGCATGCTCAGTGTGCCTCCCCGGCCTTGGCAGGACAGCTGCGCATCTGCGTACCGCTTCTCCTCCTTCACCAGCAGGTAGATCTTGCTCTCGGTCTCACGCACACCAGCAACAGCTGCAGGGGGAGGGCAGCGCTGAAAGGCCAGCACTTGCATTTCTATAAACAAACTCAATGCACGCCACCACACCACGGCCACCGGCACGGCAGCAGCGGTGGGCGCTAAGCAGCAAACGGAAGCCCATGCTGTCCAGCTTCGGGGAGAAGGGGCCAGGGAGGAAGAGGGGAAGGGAAGGCCTCAGTCCTACGTACCGTTTTTTATGAATTTCAGCTCAGTCGTCAGTTGAGTGACCTGGTTGTCCATCTCCCCAATAGCCTTCCTCAGCTGGCTGCACTCACACGGGATGCCTGCAAGAAGCAGCCTTTTATACAGGGGACTGGTTTTGGAAAAGAAGGGCACATACACACACACACACACACACACACACACACACACACACACACACACACGTATGCGCGTGCGCGCACATACACACAACACACGGACATGGTGTTGGAAGGAGGAAGGGGTCCAGTTAGAAGGAGCAGGAGGGGACAAGAGAAGGGTAACAGGATGAGTATGATCAAGATACATCATGGACATGTATGGCAATGTCACAGTGAAGCCCATTGTGCATAATTAATACACACGAATGAAAACATTTAAGAATCACAAACTGGAACTGCAGTGGGCAGGGAAGCAGGGAGCTCAAGTAGCTGATAGCTTCTTGTGAGGCTGGTGTGTGTGTGTGTGTGTGTGTGTGCATTTGTGTGCCCCAATGAGTTTCACTAGGGTTGTACACAAGGGTAGCATGGGCACCTTACCCTCATTAACTATGCTGTTTTTGTTGTTTTGTTGTCTGTTTTGAGATGGGATCCCATGTAGCACAGCTATGTAGCCAAAGATGAGCTTGAACAACAGATCCCCCTGCCTTTACCTGATGGCTGATGATAGGATTATAGGCGTGCACCACCATTCCCAGTTTTGGAGCCCAGGGCTTCATGCAGCCACATGTAGCTCTTTTTTTCTTTTAATTTGTTATTATTACTTATAATTGTTTAATTTTATGTATATGGGTGTTTGCCTACATGTATGTCTGTGCACCATGTGTGTGTCTACAGTGACCCCAGAGGCCAGAAGAGGGCTCTGGTCTCTTAGAACTGTAGTTACAAATTGTGAGCTGCTATGTGGTTCCTGTGTGGATGCTGGGAATTGAACCCAGGTCTCCTGGAAGACCAGCCAGTGTTCTTAACCTCTGGACCATCACTCCAGCCCCATGGTTTATGGTTTGTCATACCAGGTTCTCCACTGGGACCAGGGGGTCCAATGTCACCAGAGTCTCCTTTTTCACCTGGGTGATAAAAAGAAAAATTAAAGTTACTGTTCAGAAAGGAGATGCCACTTGAATTAAAATGTCAGGTTAAACATCTTATTTATTGGAGCTGGGAAATAGTTCAGTGGTAGAGTTGTACAGCATGTACGGGGCTCTGGGTTCAACCCCATCACTCCCCATCATCATGTTCTACGGACAGCTCTTCAGGCTGTTTATAAACATGGCCATTTGCATTCTGGGGGCTTTGGGGGAGCATCCAATGGCATACTTGAAGTCAGCTCTGGGGAACACAGTGCCCTTCAGGGAATGTTTTACAGGCGACATTGTGTAGATTACTTAACACCCAGAGCAGATGACAGTAGGGCAGCTCAACAGGAACATCCGGATGAACACGAAATGGGAGGTGGGGTGAGTTTAGGGAAAGCCTGATCCAGGAAGTGCAGACAGCTTGATAATCCCAAGCTGTAACCCTAGTTCCTCTGAATCTGCTCCAGGTAGTGTAGTGTCACAGAAGGTCCAGAACCAGGACCCTGCCCAGCCTCCTAACCCCTTGCCTTCAATCTCAACACACACACACACACACACACACACACACACACACACACACACACACACACACACTGTATGTATATATATATATATATATATATATATATGTTATAATATATATATATTATAGAACACAATGACAGCCTCTGTGAGATCAAGCCATGATGTGTGGGTGTGTGGGTGTGGGTGTGGGTGTGTGTCTACATCAGTCATCTTAGAATCCCCAGTGCATCGTCCCTCTTGCTCAGAGGACAGAACCATCTCCATGAAGGACTGAGTTCCACATCTGCAGATTGACAGTCTGTTCACATAAGGAGGGAAGCATTTAAGCAGCCCTGCCCAACTCATCCCCCTGTGCTCTGTCAGGTGTTTGAAGACCTCCAGAATCTCAGCCTGGCCAGGACCCAAGAGGACAGCCTTGGAGACAAAGCCAATCGAATAATCAAAGCCAAATAAGGGTGGTCCTGGTCTCCACATGAGACTTGGAGAGCTGCCCAGCACACATGCTGTGTAGAAAAGAATATGCATTCCTTCTGTCTTCCCCTCGCTCATTACAGCGTTGGCCACAGCAGCCAGTGGGGACAGATGGCCTGAGTGCCCACAGACTGGGAGACTGTAGCGGATAACTCAGTCCTCGGAGCAGAGCATCCACACTTCTCATCATGACAGTTGTGCCTACTTGCAAGATGCCATCAGATCACGACTGTCAGCTGTCATCAGAGAAGGGGAATGCGGAGAGTCACTGAACCCTTACCTGAGATTTCAGCCAGTCCTGCCAGCCGTTTAAACGAAGTTCTGCCCTGATGGCATGTGACCTTGGAATCTTGTAGTCTCTAAGGTACCAGAGCATGTATGCTAGGGAAGGTTAATTTCCCATAGAAGGGGAGATGCCAGCAGTGTGACTTTCTGATATCACTGCTTTGGGGTCCCCCACAATTATGCAAGTAATCCCTCATCCGTGTTCCGTATGTAAGCCCAATAAATCCATTTGTTCTCTAGGTCAAACTTTGGTGGAATAGTACTTTGGTTTGTTGTTGGGACTTTAGGAGGAAGAGGTAGACACCATTTATGTTTCCTCGGGGAAGGAATTTTCACAATACTTAGATAAACAAAACATGGTTTATCTGTGCAATACGTGCTATTTGGCCTTAAAAAGGGGGACTTTTGACACCTGCTCCATGATGAATTCTGAGAGCATTGTACTAAAGGGAAGGAGACCACCACAAAGGGCAAATCCTGTTAGATGTTTTATAGGATGGGCAAATTCATAGAGGCAAAACACAGACTCCGGGTTGTCAGGGGCTGGGAAGGAGAGGGAGTTACTTCTTAATGGTGCTGTGTCTCTGTGGGTCGATAAAAAGCTTTTGGAAACAGCGGGCATGGTTGCATCACATTGTGGATGTGTTGGCGCCACTGAACTGTGCAGCTGGCACAGTTGAAATGGCAGCTTTTATGAGATCGATACTTCATCGCCGTTCTGTGAAGGTTTTGTAGCCTGAATGTCCCTCAGCACCCCATGCCCATCAGGATGATGTCTGACAGCAGGTTCTTCCCAGAGAAGAGACAGCAAAGCAGAATGTCCACCTCCCCAACACTCCTGGTCAATGGTCTCTCTCTGCAAGAACAGCACAGGGCTGCAGCAAACCCAGACCAAGTCACAGCTCAGACTTCGAACCAAGACATCTCCGGGCCAAGTCAACCTGCTCCAGTATACGAACCCAGGAGACAGCTGGGGAGACCACAGCCAAATTCCCCCCTTGCCTCTGATTGCCAGTTCAGCTCTTCGCCAGCCACTGGCCACCCAGGCTCAGTCTCCCCCATGGCCAACCCACACAGGAGCACAGGAGACTTCAGTGAGATCACGCAGAGAGCTACATGACCTCTGTATCATCCGTTCCCACCCCCCATCATCCCCCTCCCCACACCCCACAAGATCCGGGTGCTCAAACACATCTGATGGAAGATGAAGCTGGTGGGGGTGAAGACACAGTAATTCATGACACAACCCATCCTGACCACACGAGTCCCTCATCATTTCATCACGCTTGTTAATAAGGAAGGGGTGCTGAGGACCCGGGCTCTGGACCCTGCATCCAGGAGGTTAAATGCTCGTTAAGTGCTGCAGGCTGGCGTGATGCCACCCACCCTGATGCTCACAGAGGCGCATCTCCTTCGGTATCCCCGTAGTGAGAATCCTGCAGCAGAGTTTATCAGAGTGGCACATGAAAACAAGAGCTCCAGGCAAAGTGGCCCAGGCAGCAGCTGTTCCGAGCCTATCGGGGAATGTAGGGCAAGAAATGTGTCACCAATACCTTTAGCGCCAATGGGACCAATTTTTCCATGGCGGCCCACAGTGCCTTTCTGTCCTTTGTCCCCGATGTCTCCTGTAGAAAATAATAAAGCCAAAATTGATTGATGCACAGGTGATCTGTCACCCCCCCCATCATCATCACACATGCACAGGTGATCTGACACACCCCTCCTCACCATCACACATGCACAGGTGATCTGTCACACACCCTCCTCACCATCACACATACACAGGTGATCTGTCACCCCCCCCCCATCATCATCACACATGCACAGGTGATCTGTCACACACCCTCCTCACCATCACACATGCACAGGTGATCTGTCACACCCCCTCCTCACCATCACACATACACAGGTGATCTGTCACCCCCCCCATCATCATCACACATGCACAGGTGATCTGACACACCCCTCCTCACCATCACATGTGTACAGGTGATCTGTCACACCCCTCCTCACCATCACACATACACAGGTGATCTGACACACCCCTCCTCACCATCACACATACACAGGTGATCTGTCACACCCCTCCTCACCATCACACATGCACAGGTGATCTGTCACACACCCTCCTCACCATCACACATACACAGGTGATCTGTCACACCCCTCCTCACCATCACACATACACAGGTGATCTGTCACACCCCTCCTCACCATCACACATGCACAGGTAATCTGACACACACCCTCCTCACCATCACACATGCACAGGTGATCTGACACACACCCTCCTCACCATCACATAATACACAGGTGATCTCACACACCCTCCTCACCATCACACATACACAGGTGATCTGTCACACACCCTCCTCACCATCACACATACACAGGTGATCTGTCACACCCCTCCTCACCATCACATAATACACAGGTGATCTGTCACACCCCTCCTCACCATCACACATACACAGGTGATCTGTCACACACCCTCCTCACCATCACATATACACAGGTGATCTGTCACACCCCTCCTCACCATCACATAATACACAGGTGATCTGTCACACACCCTCCTCACCATCACATAATACACAGGTGATCTGTCACACACCCTCCTCACCATCACATATACACAGGTGATCTGTCACACCCCTCCTCACCATCACATAATACACAGGTGATCTGTCACACACCCTCCTCACCATCACATAATACACAGGTGATCTGTCACACACCCTCCTCACCATCACATAATACACAGGTGATCTGTCACACCCCTCCTCACCATCACATATACACAGGTGATCTGTCACACCCCTCCTCACCATCACACATGCACAGGTGATCTGTCACACACCCTCCTCACCATCACATAATACACAGGTGATCTGTCACACCCCTCCTCACCATCACACATGCACAGGTGATCTGTCACACACCCTCCTCACCATCACACATACACAGGTGATCTGTCACACACCCTCCTCACCATCACACATACACAGGTGATCTGACACACACCCTCCTCACCATCACATAATACACAGGTGATCTCACACCCCCTCCTCACCATCACACATACACAGGTGATCTGTCACACCCCTCCTCACCATCACACATGCACAGGTGATCTGTCACACACCCTCCTCACCATCACATATACACAGGTGATCTGTCACACCCCTCCTCACCATCACATAATACACAGGTGATCTCACACCCCCTCCTCACCATCACATAATACACAGGTGATCTCACACCCTCTCCTTACCATCACATGTGTACAGGTGATCTCACACACCCCTCCTTACCATCATACATACACAGGTGATTTCACACACCCCCTCCTCACCATCACACATGCACAGGTGATCTGTCACACACCCTCTCCTTACTATCACATAATACACAGGTGATCTCACACACCCTCCTCACCATCACATAATACACAGGTGATCTCACACCCTCTCCTTACCATCACATGTGTACAGGTGATCTCACACACCCCTCCTTACCATCATACATACACAGGTGATTTCACACACCCCCTCCTCACCATCACACATGCACAGGTGATCTGACACACCCCCTCACCATCACACATGTGCACACATGCACACCGGAAGAGACTGCATAAAGAACAGCTCTTCAAGGGCACATGCATGACTGTCCCAGGATGATTCCTCACAGGTAGCCCACTGGTTTTGTTTCTGACACAGGATCTGAGTCACACAGATGGCAGAAGGGAGGAGAACGGACCAGCACTCCTGAGTCACGCAGCCAAGGCCAGCTCTCCTCTGAGCCTGGGTCAGGAAGGGCAGATCCCTGACCTGTATCTTAGCTCAACCATGTCTCCCAAGCTTGTTCTCACACCCAAGCCAAAAGCATCACTCTGGAATACAGACACAGCTAGATGCTCTTGGGAACAGCAAAGCCCTGGGCATCCCTTCTGGTTGCATTTGAAGGTCGCAGGAGACGGAGGGCACAGGGAGAAGAGCCCAGAATGCTCTAGCATGCCTTACGGCAGGTCTGTAGCACAGTGCCTGCTGTGTCCTTCCATCAGCAAGTATTCGGCCTAGTTGCATAAGGCCACCAGCCCTTCTGCTCTCTCTCTTATCCCTTGTAAGAGGGAGCAGTGGGTGGCCTTGCTTACCCCAGAGAACACTGAGCACTGGAATAAAGCTGTGACTAGCTGTCCTCTCCCAGATCCATAACAAGTCAAGGCAGAAGACATTTCTCAATGCCATGTCCTTCCCGGGTAATCTTTTGGGATCCCCACTGATGAGACACCAAAGCACAAATAGCAAGCAAGCATACAGAGAAGCCCTGGGCACCAAGTTCGCCATGGGCAGGCTCACGTGTGGTCAGGATGCCATGACCTTTTGATCTTCTATTGCCCCTAGTGTTACAGAGGATAAACAGAAGCTGGATGTAGGCGGCTCTCAAGACAGGCGGGAGGGAGGACTCCGCCCGCCCGCCCCGGGTGCTGATGAAGCACCTCACAGCGCGGCACTTCCCAAAGGGCCTCCCAGTGCAGGAGTGGATGGAATGCTCCCTCAACGCAGAGCAGATGGAGTCCAAAGGACAGAGCCCTGGCTGATCGGAACACACACCGTGCATGGAAAGAGCATGAGAACAAAGTGCTTGCTCACGAAGCGCGTTCATACACGCACGGTCTCCTTTACTGCCTTTAAAACTGGTCAGCTGCACATAGGGTAGTTCTAGGATTAAGTGACTTGACCAGGTTGGACCCTGAAAGCCCAGCAGAACCAGGTCAAGAGCCATGATCTGCTGACTTGAAAGCTGTTCTGCTGTCCTGCTATGGGGAAGATAGAGACGAGAGAAGTCTGTGCCGGTGAAAGGGCAAAGCAAGTCCGTGGTCCAGCAGGGTACAGAGTGCGAGCTGAGGACACAGGGGACAGTCTGGCAATGGAAACCCAGAGCAACTGTAGGAGAGGAAGGAGGCAGCAGTGGGAGCCACTGCAGAGTCAGGAAGAGGAGACAGGGAGATCGGATTCCTGCTTGGGAAGCCCGGCCACACTTGAGGCGAAGTGGGCAAGGCAGGCACAGAGGCCATCGGGTGGCTAGCCAGACAGCATCTCAGAGAACGAAAAGAAGCCTCCCAACGGGCAGGTGTCTGGAGTTAACAACAACTCAGCGATGGGATGTAAGGTGAGGTCGAGGCTTGTGGCCTGGATACCTGTATGCAGCGTGGGCCATCCTAAGTCAGAGAGGGCACTGGGTTCCAATGTCCCAGAGACAAACAGGAGAAAGGCCGTGGATGCAAGAGGGGGACAGAGTAGCTTGACATCGATAAAGAAAGAATCTAGAGGGATTCAAGGGAGCCAGAAAGGGCGGGGGGGGGGGGGGGTTGTGGGGGTGGTGTTCAGAGGGAGACAGGCTGAGACCAGGGCAGGCAGTGTCTTGACCAATGAGTTAAGGAACAGGGAAGGAAAGAGAGAACTTAGCAATCCTCTCCAACCTTTTGAAATCGAAACATTCCCCTTGACATCTGCGTAGTTCATGCTAGGCCGTGCAACTGAGTTTTTAAAGAAATCACAAAAATATCTCACGGTTTAAGTAAGTTTGTAACTTCGGGTTGAGCTGTAATCGAAGCTGTCTTTGGCTGCATGCAGCCTGGATGCCACAGATTGGACAAGTCAAAACAACCCACTGAAGCCCCCCAGTGGAGATGGGAGCACAGTAGTTCCCCGCATACAGGAGTCCAAGCCCACCGTTCCCCCACGCCAGCCAGTGAGCATGCCTGCCCAGCCCAAGTTCACATGGCGTGTTTGGAGGACATAAGGTTCAACTTGTCCATCTGACAGCTGGGTACACCCACCCACACCACTGCACTGCTCAAGAATGGACAGATGGGTCATTCCGATACCCAGGCTTACCACATTCCCATATGGACAGAGGCTGCGTAGCCGGGTTCTAGAAAATAAAAACCAAAGATCTTACCCTGGAAAGGCCAGTTCCCACTAAATGCCCCAAACCTTGGGAGATCAGTTTCCTGTTACCACACAGCAGGTGGGATTGAGGGTCCTGAGTGTGCGTGTAGTCTGCTGTGTGCTGTGGGGGAAAGGACAGAAAGGGATCCGGAGGTCTCTGTCCACTGTGGGCCTGCTTCCCTTTGAGAAATGTCAAACTGGTTCAAGGCTACGGTCGAGGAAAAGTCACACCACAGCTCTGCCTTCTCAGCCTTCCAGCCACATCAGGTAGAAAATCAGGTCCCTGAGGTGACAGGCAGACAGGCTCAAAAGTCGCTGGAGGAAAAACATTTGCAACACAAATGCCTCAGGGTGGTTTTCTTCTTTCCTGCGAAATTCCCACCTCAACAGAACAATCAATTAGCACTCCATTGTTCAATTCAGTCCACTGGGCTGAGGGCCTGCAAGTGGGAGTCCGGCTGTCATAAATCAGCCACCACCTGAGGCTGATCTGAGAACACTTGGCTCCGACCCATCCCTAACTCTTACAGCCCAACAGGAACAGGAATTCAAAGCTGTTGCTGACACTTGGCTCCTGGTACCAGCTGGCACCACACTCTGCTCCTGTCCTGGGAGAAGCATGGGTGCCAAGCCCTGCCATCGGGGTACCCGGGAACCAAGAGCAAGTG